TACTTCCTCATACTCCCTAGTCACATGATCTTCTGTAAGGAAGAAATCCTTGGATCGCCTAGCTACCCTAAGCGATCCCCATTTGCTATAAGAAATCTGAATGTGCCTGTCGAGGGTTGCGCCTCTTATTATGACAAGTATCACGTGAACACGTGATTCGTGACATGGTATTAGCTTTTATAGTCTAAGTATAAGAGGCTCTTAGCCTACTTCTACTTTATAAACTCTCTTAAGAAAATAGCTAAGTTAATCATAAAGTCTCTTTAATCTCTATTTCTATCTCTAGTAATCCTTTTAAATAATATAAGTAAGTAAAAACCCTATTCTACTATTATTTAGTAAATATATACTAAGGCTAGATTTATATACTAGTACTTATTCTACTTTAGACTATAAGTATTAAAGTTACTTATAAGTAGTACTCTCTAGCAAAGGCTGTTACGGAGTTGGAGGAACTAGGGGTTGATCACGTGTAGCGCAGCATGTAGTATGTGTCACGTGCGCGCTGCTGGCATCCTGTATTTAAGCTCTCGTTCCTCTGGAACTCTCTTCCTTCCTCACTTTGTTGTTCGCTCAATACAGCAGTTTCCGTTTGACTCCGTATTCATCACAGCAAGCAGTGGTTCACTCCACACGGTTACAAAGGCTTACTTAGTAAATAGTAGATTAAATAAATAGCTATTATTAGCTAACCTACTCTAAACTAGACCTTCGACTAATTCCTCCTAGTCTTATAGAACTATAAGGTTATAGAATATTATTTATATACTAGTATAATTACTTTATCTAATTCTTATATTAGATAGTACTATAAACCTAAGCTATATTAAGGTAAATCGGTTATATTATTCTATAGTAGCTCTTAGATAGAGAGGATATTAGCTCTACTAGAGAACGCTTTATGATAGGCTTTAGGTGTCACGGATGCCAACAAAGGATAAAGTGTATACAGCTTTTGAATCAATTGCTAGAACTAAAACCGTAGGTACGAAGAAATCAAACTAAAGAGAGAAGAGAATCTGAAAGGAGCGAAGTTATTTAAGTTGTTCCAATGCCAAGTCTCGTCACGTGCTTGGCCAAGCGAATGAAATCCTGTCAAATGAAATCCAGCTCCGTCACATGAGGGTACCTATAAGTATTCTAGTATATTAGTTATAAGTTAGAGTTATTAGATAGTTTTAATTATTTCTATACTAGTGTAACGAATACTCAAACTGGCTAACTAAACTTGGCTGGGTGTTCGCTGGTTGGTATGCTATGATAAGAAGAAGACTATCGGGTTGTTCACTTGGAAGTGAACTCGTTACTTGTATCAAAGATGTCAAACTAATATGATAAGATTGATAACTAAGTTGAGCACGAAGCTCCTATCTAATGGCAGACGTGCCAGTCTTATATAGAACCTTCGTGTTCCTGTGGTCGCCATGGTCGACTGTTCGACCATGGCGACATGGTCGACTCGTCGGCCATGTCGCTCGTTTCCATCACGTGATAACTAACCAAGAGAAATCCCTGGATCGCTTAGCTAGTCTAAGCGTCCCTATTCGCTATAAGAGTCCATGATAATGTTTAACCTGTCAGGACGCCGCCTGGTCTTCACTCATCACCTGCTAGCACGTGATTCGTGACACTATCCCCTTCTTAGCCTAGCGTGTCCCTACGCTTAAGTACAACCTAGGAAATATCGTCAGAAGGTCACCGACCTCCGTTCTTTCAATATGAACACTACACGAGCTTCCGAACACAAACGTTGGATCGAACTCTCGAAGCGTATTGACAGATCTGGTAAAGAAATGGCTCCCTGTGCTCGATGCGAACGTTCCGGTCGAAAATGTGTAGCCCTAGCTACAACCTCGGAGCCTAACAAATGCTCAGAGTGTACTAGACAAAAGAAATCCTGCGATGTTAAATCGCGAAACCGAATGCCCTCACTTTCCGACTGGTCCTCGATTGACCAGCAACGACGGAAGTTGCAGGATGAAGAAGAATTGGCCTGGCAGTCCCAACAGGAGGCCATTGCCAAGGTTCTTCGATTGCGGAGGCTACAGCGCCAGCTCGACGAGCGGGAACAGCAGCTGATTCGTTCCGGCCTTAACTCTATGGCCGAACTAGAAGAGAAGGAGGAGAAGGAGCGGTTAGAGAAGAAGGAGAGGGAGGCGGCGGAAAGGAGGGAGGGAGAGGCT